GGGCTGTGTCTACACTGGGCCACTTATTCCGGAAAAGCAGCCGCTTTTCCGGAATAAGCTGCGAGCTGTCTACACTGGCCGCTTGCTTTTCCGGAAAAGCAATGACGAGCTACTGTAAAATTGTCAGTGTTTTTCTGGAAAAACTATGCTGCTCCTGTTCGGGCAAAAGTCCTTTTCCAGAAAAACTGTTCCGGAAAAGGGCCAGTGTAGACAGCACAGTAGTCTTTTCCGGAAAAAAGCCCCGATCACGAAAATGATGATCGGGGCTTTTTTCCGGAAAAGCGCGTCTATATTGGCCACGGACACTTTTCCGGAAAAGCACCCTGCGAATGTAGACGCGCTTTTTCCAGAAATACTTATAATGGAAAACTGTTCCGTTTTAAGCATTTCCGGAAAAGGGTGCCAGTGTAGACGTAGCCTTGGTGTTCACACCTCCACATCAGCTGCTGGAAGTGGGCCTCATCCTCCCTGACTGAATTGACCTCATTATCTCTAGCTTTACTCTTGTTTGGCACTCTTTTCTTATGCCTGTATATTTATACCTACCTCTGGAATTTCCACTACATGCATCTGACGAAGTGGGTCTTTGCCCACGAAAGCTGATGCTCCAATACATCTGTTAGTCTATTAGGTGCCACAGGACTCCTCATTGCTTTTGGAATAGAATGGTTGATTCTTTCATTTACATCGAGAGACAAAACTTGCAGAACATAACCTCACTTTTCAAATTCCATCCTCTCACATGTTGGCTTTTTATTTTATGTATTACACTAGCTCTGAGAGGCCCAAACCAAACTCAGGGCACAACTGTGCTGCACAAACACAGGAAAAGTCAGCGCCTGTCCCAGAGTTTACAGGCAAAATAACCTAATCCAATGTTTGTTGCATCCCATATTATAGCAAAGGCAACTCAGGAGTCAGTTGTCATTCTGGTGATGGACAAATATTTGATGTTTCTTAAAGCTTCAGCTCCCGGAGTCCTGTGATTTCAGGGGGACCTTCTGCTTTCATTTTTTAAAGTAATATTTTGTCCCTCTTGATTGCAGTGAAAAACTTGAACCCATGACCTGAGTGCACCATGAAGACTCAGACCCAAAATACCAAACTCAACTTTATTGTTATTTGCTCATTTAACTAATTCTATTAAATCTCCTTATTTGAGGGGCTTGAGATTTGGTTATTTGTCTTTATTTCTTTACATTTGAGGTTGGCAGTACTGCAGCTGTACTTCAAATGCACAACTAGGAAGGCACAATGTTTAGAATAATTTGTTTAGTGTATATAGGCCAGCTTTCGTTAGTGGCATGCTTATTATATTCAGGATAGTTGATACATGATTTATGGAATTTTAAGGCTAAAAGGAACAATTATGATAATCTCATCTTACTTCCTATAGAACAAAGGCCATGGATAGTCTCCCATAATCCGTCACGCTTGCATACCTAACATTTGAGCTTCAGCATGGGTGACTAAAGAGCAAAATGTTAACAGGTTTTTTATTTATTATTATTGTTCTTGTTGGAAAGTTTCTCATGCAGTAAAGATACCTCAAACGCTTTTGGCCTAACATCCCAGAGTGAATGCATATGGCTCTCTTAGCAACCTCTACCCTCACTCACTCTGCTAGAGAGAGGTTCATTATTAACCTTCAGCAAAATGATAGACAGATCCAGACCAATATTGTGACAGCCACACTCAGATTCATTTTTAAAAATCTGTTGCATCATCTCCCTAAAGATTTTTAACTCTGTGACACCTCCACTGCCTCGTGGCTCTGTAGATACTTAAAAATGTCTGTTGCAAAATTACAATGCCAGCAGAGTTGCATCTAGCCAACCCGGTCTTTGTGGGATGAATTAAAAACTGCACAGGATTCAGACTTAAATAAATTCCCCACTTCCTCCCCGAGGCACTGCTGGGTTTGTTTGGAGTCCCCTTTGCTGTGTACCAAGGTAATAAAATCAAGCTCCCTATTATTTATTTCTTCCATATCACACGTTGTTTAAGGTGCATGTTGAATGAAGCATGGCTGTGTCCCAACTGAAACTTGGGGTTGCTGTTTGCCCGTTTGGTCCTACATGTTTGTGACTCGCCCGTGTGTTGCTCTCCCTCTCCTTGTCTTCGATCCAGAGTCACTAATTAAGGGTCGCTTGGTGCTTGTATGTGCCAGATTGCAGGACTTTGAAGTGTTGAGTGAAAAGCAGATTCCACAGCCTGGTTTGAACCATTTAGTCCCACAACATTTGGAAGGCTTACAAGTCAGGTGGAATGAATCCAGGAAAAATATCTTAAAGAATGTAGCTGGAAAACTTTCACCAGTTTCCACTGCCTCTTCTGTTCTAAAGCTTCATATCCAACCTCACTGTACGTTGATTTGATCTGGACAAGATTTTTCAGACTAATATTTGATTTGCTAAAAAAATGTAGTTTTGGGTCAGCCAAAACTCTTCACAACCTCATGTCAAGTTCATGGGCAAGTTTCAACCAAACCAGGCCATTTTGGTAATGTCAAAGTGAAACATTTCATTTCAATCCAAAAAACGTTTTGCTTTTCATGCATTTTGACCAAAAATCCCAGGGGAGGAGATACACGAGTGGAAGAGCTGGTGCTTTCAGGCTTAGCAGAATTCAGTTTTTACTTTTTTGGTGGAGAACTAATATTAATATTTATTTTAAACTTTTTTACATTTTTAACAATTTTTATTTTTACAGTTTCAGGAAGTTGGGGGTAGAATTGGGGGTCAGGCAGCACTGACAGCAGTGCTCCTGCAGAGACGCAGTGCAGGAGTGGTTATGGTCCTGACCTGGCATGGCAGAGACCACTGACCAGCACTGCGAGGAGGAGGAGCCCACGGCCAGGGGATGCTGCAATGGTGGACCAGGTGCAGAGAAGAGCTCCTAAATGATCAGAGAACTCGTGGCCTGTTGTCTGAGAAGAGACTAAAAGTTGGGGCTTGCCTAGAGAAGGCCGAGAGGGGATACTCTTGTTCTCTGTAACTACAACAGGAGTAAACTCTAGAAAGGGGGACAAGCTATTTCAGGTTATGGACAATAGTGGCATGAGAAGACGTGGGGATAAACTGCCCATGAACGAATTCTGGCTCGAAGTTAAAAGAAGGTTCCTACCCCTCAGAGGAGTTGAGGGCAAATGCTTCATTTGTCCGAAGAGAGAGGTGGACACATTTAGGAGTGGGATTGTGTGATAGTGGGGGAGAGCTCGGCAGCCCTCAGGGTGTTCCAAGTTGAGCACCCAAAAGACAGCACTAGCACAAAGCCTTAGCAACTTTGGAAAACATAGGCCTCGCTTGTCTGCTGTGCCACAGTCACCTGTGTGGTGACCTTGGGCAAGTGTTGTGGCATGGGATTTTCCCAGGCACCAAGCTCATTTAAGAGTGCAGAGCTCATTGTCAGCCAGTGAGAATTGCTCTCCTAAATTATGTGGGTGCTTTTGAAAATCCCACCATTATTCTCCCTGGGCCTCACTTCCCCAGCTGTAAAATGAGGGTGATAATAACAGTGCTGCATTCCTACCTCCCAGGAGAGCCTTGAGGGTAAACTCCATGACTGACTGGATGAGGCTCAGACAGTGCCTTACAAAGGGATGCCTATGTCCCTAGGAAGGAACAGGGACACACAGCCCTGGGTTTAATCAGACTCCGGTTTTGTTGCTCCAGGTGAGGATGACGACGATGAGGAATGTGGGGAAGAGAAGCTGCCCTCCTGCTTCGATTATGTGATGCACTTTCTGACTGTCTTCTGGAAGGTCCTTTTCGCCTTCGTTCCCCCGACAGATTACTGGAATGGTTGGGCCTGCTTCGTTGTCTCCATCCTAATGATTGGCTTACTGACGGCTTTCATCGGGGATTTGGCATCCCACTTTGGCTGCACCATTGGCCTGAAGGATTCAGTGACTGCAGTTGTGTTTGTTGCACTGGGAACTTCAGTGCCAGGTAAAAGAAAAATTGAATTTCTTGCCATGACCTTTGACATCTTTCCTTTGTGCTGTGTATTTGGGATTCAGAGGAAGTGAGCAGCAATGCAGGTCTGGATCAAGATCTAGCTAATAACACTGACACCACACGGGAAACCCCAGTGGTGTGTTTCTCTTATTGGTGGCTGTGGCTTATAGAAAGTATTGTTTAGCTTTGAATTTCCAGGCTTTCTGAGTTTGGATAACAACTTGTAACTGATAGTTATAGTCTTAATTTCAGAAAACCCACATTTTCCTTAGAATGAAATTGTAGTTATTCCATGGAGTGCAAGAGCAACAAGTGTCAGTCCATATTTTGCTTTCTCCATTGCCGGCAGAGTGGTTTTTTCACACTTCAAGTAGGTATGACATTTACTGTGCTGCACTGGGTTTTTTAAAAAGCCCCTTAAAACAAAACAGCCTTAATACAGCCCAGATATAGTAACTGTGTCTGGCAAGCCTCACCCATCTTTGTTTCTTTTAGATCCTGAAAGATTTTTTCTGCACCATTAATATTGGTTATAAGTGAATAGAAAATCAGTGAAATGAGAAGAAAGTACTTTTGGCCGTGCTACTCTTACTGTCATTTTAACCTGTTATTGCTACTGATACAAGAAATCAGAGCTCTAGATTTTATCTGGTATATTGCTATAAATTACTATGGATTAGCAGTGCATATTTCTTTCAGACACTCCGGGTATGTCTACACTACCCCCCTAGTTCGAACTAGGGGGGGTAATGTAGTCATACGGAGTTGCAAATGAAGCCCGGGATTTGAATTTCCCGGGCTTTATTTGCATAAAGCCGGCCGGCACCATTTTTAAATGCCGGCTAGGTCGGACCCCGTGCCGCGTGGCTACATGCGGCACGGACTAGCTAGTTCAGATGAGGCTTCCTAATCCGAACTAGCTGTACGCCTCATGGAACGATAATGTGGAAATGAAGCCCGGGAAATTCAAATCCCGGGCTTCATTTGCAACTCCGTATGACTACATTACCCCCCCTAGTTCGAACTAGGGGGGTAGCGTAGACATACCCTCCTATATTTGAAAGGACAAGTTCTTTGTGACTGCATGATCTAAACATTACTTACAACTTTCTTGTGCCTGGAAGGCTCCAGGTGCCCCTGGAGAATGACTGCTTCACAGCAGTGTGGTGGACTAAAGTGCAGTGGACAAATGTACAGTGCAGTAATCATGTCAGATAACTTGTAATGAAGAGTTGATCCCTTTTTCTAACCATCATCACCTCAGAGAGAGAGGATGCAAACTATAAAGTGTCTAGCCTAATAACAGTCTTTCAGATACTAAAAACTGCATCTGGATATTCACAGAACAATGCCTAATTATTTCCATTCTTGATACAAATGTACAGAACCTTGCAAAAAAGGGGTTTCTGGAATGTGCCATTTCAAATACAATAATCTCTTTGCACTGGGCTTGTGGCCACTGTTTGATTAATAGCAAAGTAAGCAAAGTATCAACAGTAGGAATAATTAAACAGATTAGTGCTTATCCCTTTAATGCCACTGCATGGTTAGCGTCCTCCAGAGACTATGGAGGGGAAATTGTGGTAGTAGAGGTTATTGTATGGAATTAATGCTTTCGTTTCTCTTGAAACAGTGGGTTGTTATTTGACCATTTGTGTGCAGTGTGTTCACCCTTCCAGAGATCAGTGTGTCAAAGCATAGAATACATGCCCAATGGAAAAAAGAAACCAATCAACTGCTGACCCTTCAGTGTCCTGTAGCTGTAGGCATGCTGGAAGATGTGTCCAGAATGAATGGGGACTGAGCATGGATGGGCGTGCACCTCTTTTTAATAGCAATGTAGAGTTTAAGGCCAAAGAGACCACCAGATCTAGTCTGACCTCCTGTAGACCACCAGCACCCAGCACTCACACCGCAAACCCAACAACTGAAATGAGACCAAAGTTCAAGACTATGCCAGGGGCAGAGAGTAGGAGGGACTGAGGAGCACCAGTGGTCAAGATCCCTGCAGTGGCAGGGAATTAAATGAGAGAGAACCATTTGAGTTCAAGGCCTTTCCTGTCACTTAATGTAGATCTTAAGGGCCGGCCACCCTGTACCCTCTTTGCACGGAAATGTGGCATGTGGTTCCATGCTGCAACCCATATCTGTGTGGGATGAGGTGGGGATGAGAGAGTGGCTGGTCCCTGTTAAATTGTACTCCCAGCACGCCTCCCCTCTCCTTGGAGTGCAGCGCTGGCCCTCCCAACATCTCGCCCTGGAGCTCGGCATGATTGTCGGCTCCCCGGATGCTTTAGTGGTGCACTCCGGGTGGCTCTATGGGCTGGGGGATAGGGGAGCCCCTCCCCTTCCCCACCTTGCCCTGGGATCTGGTATGGCTGTCAGCTCCCCTGCTCAATATGAGAGTGAAAATAAAGTTGGTGGGTAAGTGACAGGGAGGGGCTTGGTTTTGAGATTAAGGCCTTGGCATAGAAGCATGGAAATAGAATTATAGAATCCTAGGGTTGGAAGAGACCTCAGGAGTCATCAAGTCCAACCACCTGCCCAAAGCCAGACCAACCCTAAGTTAATCATCCCAGCCAGGGCTTTGTCAAGCCAGGACTTAAACACCCCTAGGGATGGAGATACCACCCCTCCCTAGGGAATCCATCCCAGTGTTTCCCCAGCCTCTGAGGGAAATCGCTTTTTTTCTTCAAGTGATTGCTCATGTCCATTCCATGTAGGTATGCACGCATAGTCAGAAGCTCTTCCCTTAGCAGCACCTATTGGGCCAATGGGGGAGCCCCCAGAAATGCACTGCTACATCAGATAATATATACCCCTGCTGGCCCTCCACCTTCAGTTCCTTCTTACCACCCGTGACCGCCATTGGAACATGCTCTGCTCTCACCCTGCAAGCACTCCTTAGCTGTTCTCACCTAATTGTTGCCTCAAGTTCTGCTCTCATGGGTCTGGTCTGTGGGCCCTCAGGACATGCCCTTACTACCCCCAGTCCGTGGGCCTGCTCTGTGTGTTTCCTCTGTTCCCACTGGTGCACAAGGTGCTCCTCAAAGTGAGGGAATTCAGGGCCTCCCTCATTCTCATTGAACAAGCCTGGCCCAGGCAGCTTTGGTTCATGACCCTGTTGAGCCTCTCTTCTGAGACAGATCGCCCTTCCCCTGTATCCAGACCTCATAATGCAGGACTTTGGCCGTCTTCACCACCCAAAGCTGCAGTCCCTATACCTTCTGGTCTGGAAGCTCCATGGCTGACAGCAGTGGAGCTGCAGTGCTCAGAACGGGTGCAGGAGGTTCTGCTGGGGAGTAGGAAACCTTCCACTAGAGCCACCTAGTTGGCAAAATGGAAGCATTTTTCTATCTGGGTTGCTCAAAAGGGGATTTCTCCTATGGACACCCAGGCCCATTGATAGTGGACTATCTCCTTGAGCTCGGGATTCAGGGGTTGTCCTCCTCATCGATCAAGGTTCACTTGGTGGCTATTTCCGCCTTCCACCCAGGCTCCAGGGACACAGTGCTTTTTGTGCATCCCACGCTCCATCAGTTTCTGAAGGGACTGGACAGGCTCTACCCGCATATCTGCCAACCTGTCCCTCAGTGGGACCTTAACCTGGCTATGACCAGGCTTATAGGATGCCCCCCCCCCTTTGAATCTTTAGTTACCTGTTGATTGCTGCACTTCTCCTAGAAGGTGTAGTTTCTTGTAGCCATCACATCAGCCAGGCAGGTGTCAGAGCTAAGGGCCCTTACCTATGACACCCTCTCCCCCTTATACAGTCTTTTTCAAGGATAAGATTAAGCTACACCCCCATCCTGCTTTCCTGTCAAAGGTGGTGTCTCAGTTTCATGTCTCCCAGGACATTTTTCTCCAGTTTTTTTATCCCCCCCCTTTTTTTTTTATCCCAAGCCCCACGTCTCTGGCAAAGAACAGACTTTGCTCTCCTAATGTCTAGAGTGTATATTGGCATTTTATTTAGAAAGAACAAAGCCCTTCCGTAAGTCCCCTCAGTTGTTCATGGCAGTAGTAGAAAGGCTCAAGAGGCAGCTGGTCTCTGCTCAGAGAATTTCTTCAAGGATAACCTCATGCAATAAGGAGTGTTATAGTCTGGCTGGATTACCAGTCCCTCCTCTCACGGCCCACTTCACTTGGGCACAGGTCTCCTCCATGGCATTTGTGGCCCAGGTCCCTATCTTGGACATCTGTAGGGCTGCCACATAGTCTTCAATTCATACCTTTGCTAACCTTTATGCTCTAATTCACCGGGCCAGGGAAGACATGGCCCTCGGTAGGGCTGTCCTCCTCTCAGTTGAAGGTTAGAATTCTGACCCCGCCTCCTGGAGTTTCTGCTTTGGATTCACCTACATGGAATGGACATGAGCCATCACTCGAAGAAGAAAAAATGGTTACTTGCCTTTGTAACTGTTGTTCTTTGAGGTATGTTGCTCATGTCCATTCCAAATCCCATTTTGGAGTAGTCCAGTAAGAAGGAACTGAGGGGGTGGAGGGCCAGAAGGGGTACATATTAGCCAATATAGTGGCACCACTCCAGGGAGCTCCCCAGCTGGCCCAATGGGTACTGCTATGGGGGAAAGCTTTCAATGACATGTGCATGTGGCGCGCATGTGCATGGAATGGACATGAGCAACACATCTCAAAGTAAGTAACCATTGTTTCCTAATATCCAACCTCGATCTCCCTCACTGCAGCTTGAGACCATTGCTCCTCGTTCTATCATCTGTCACCACTGAGAACAGCCTCTCTCCATCCTCTTCAGAACCCTCCTTCCTCCCTTTCAGGTAGTTAAAGGCTGCTATCAAACCTGCCCCTCACCCTACTCTTCTCTTCTGCAGAGTAACTAAGCCCAAATCCTTCAGCCTCTCCTCATAGGTCATGTGCTCCAGCCCCCTAATCATTTTGGTTGCCCTCCGCTGGACCCTCTCCAATGCGTCCACATCCTTTCTGTAGTGAGGGGCTCAGAACTGGACACAATACTC